ACAACTTTGTAAATGAAGTATTCGAGGAATATTGATTAGTTATAGAACTGCAATAAGTCTTAATTGCCGTAGGTATTAACGTTTCGGAAAAGTGCAATAAATTGGTACCTACGGGGTTGAGATCTCATCACTAGACAAGAGCAAAGATATCGAGTAATATTATAACACGGAAGACGGAAGTAAGGTGGATGGAATAGTTATTTACATTATTAGTGCGGGAACAGTTATTTTGCTGATGAGCGCGAAGTTTGGCGGCGCGAGTGCGCGACGCGCATGAGCGACGCATCTCCCGCGAATCAAGCAAATACAAATACTGTTCACGCACGTAACATGTATTCTATTTTTTGCACGGATTAGTTAAATAATTCAAAACCTTTTCGCGAGATTTTTGCGATATTATAATTCTTTTGAAAAAATAAAGTCCTCTATGCCGATAAAGTAGAAATCTAGAAATTTAAAATGTCAATTTATTGTTCAAAACTTCTGGTTTAAGCTTATTTTTACCCCTGTACTACAGGGAATGATGTAAAGTGTATTTATATTTTCTTTTTTACTCTTCCATCATACTACTTATTAGTTTATGATCCCCACTAAATAGATAATTTCGTTGAATTTTTAGACACTAGTGCGCGAAAGTAGATAGTCAATTGTAAAATTGACGTTCCCGACTTTCGTGTTTTATTGGGAAAACGCGATTTAGAACGAAGGAGTGCAAAAAATTATTTGAAGTACTCACGTCCTTTCTTTGTTGGTCTCCAAATGCTTCACCTAGTCAAGGCTTTAATCATAGGGGAAGCTTTTGCCGGAAACAGGGCCGATGTGATTAGTGTGCCGGAACGCATCTCGCAAAAAACGTTTCGATAAGCGGACCCTCGACACCGAAACATGTAAACGGGCAGCATCCGGCAACCTACAGAGGTTGCGAAATTGCCAAAAAACTCCAGAAAAACTTAAAAGCTGGAATCTAACAAATCTAACAAAAATTCTTAAGGCACCTCTACAGTATTTATGTTACGAATTTTAAAAAAACCAGAATTTACAGTACTCTTCTGTTTTTCCGATGTTGCGCCGATCTTCAAAGAGTTGGTCAGGCTGAAACCTCCCAGGATAGAACTCGTATTGTTTGCTATATGGAGTTCGTTTTCTACGTGAAATAGAGAATTTTGAGATACAGCTGTGTTACCAGATTAACTAAATCCAATCCGTGCGGTAGGTGATTTTTGCTTTCCTCCAGGTTCCAGGTCAAAGATATTAACATTTTGCTATGACGAAGATCAAGGTTCACAAATATACGTGCGGCTTGGAGCTAGAAGGCGACCAATTTTGTACAGACCACCTTCACGATCGATCCTCTCTCTTTTTCTTCGCCTTTTCCTTTTCGCCAAAACGCCCGCGAGAAAATCCGAAAGGGAACCATCGAAACTCGTTTTGTTGCTCCCAACCTCCTTGCGTAAATGATGATTTATACATACGGCATTAAAAAATTGGGATTCTAACCATTGGAAGGTAACAATTTTATTTCTTAAAAATGATTTTACATTTTCACTGTACATGTGTCTGTAATTCCATTAAACAGTAATACGTAAAATGCACTGGGATAAATAACGTGAGGTCGTTGAATTCATAAAATGGAAAGGTTGCAAGTGTAACCAATTTATTGTTCTCCTAATTTCGGCATTGAGACAAGTTGCAGTAAACCCTCGATACTCTTTTTCGAAAGACTACATCTCGCTTAATTATATATCGACTTTATCGTCGTTCAACGGCGATATCACTACCTTTAATGAGAAAAAAAGCAATATATTTCTTGACAATATTAGCTTAACAAATGGTGCTTCATTGGCTGCCATTAGATACCTACCCTAATTGTGGGGGGTAGTTTACTGAAACACCCCGATAATGTTTATTAAATCTATTAACTAACCTGAACGTTTTTTCCTTAATTTTATTATATATGAAACTTTATTAGATACGATATTTTATAGCATATTCATATTTATACAGTAACTAAGAAAAACAAGATGAGGATACTATGATAGTGCATTTCGAGGTGCATTTAATGCGTAACAGTGTGTAGAGTATAACTAGTTCATTTGACGAGAACAAGTGAACGTTTTCAACTTGTCTAAGTGGGCAACTTGTTTTGCCGCTTCTCCGACGAAATTAATGAATTCAGAAAGCTTTTATCATCATCTGTAACAAATGGTATGAAAAACTAAATAAGAATTTGCCGATTAATGATTACAATTTAACTTAAAAGAAAAATAAATGAATTTACAAATTATAGTAACTAAATCATGTGAGCTACCGACATTGGCGGCGCGGCCGTCGGCAGTAACAAGGATGAGCTGTCGGCGGAACGGACGGACGGACTCGAGCGCCACCAAGGGTATGGCCTTGCCCCCGGTCAAGGTCGGCGATAGCTGCGGTTTGCGGGACGCTCCCGGAAACTTCAGGTAAACTCAATCAGAGTAAACGGCAAGTCTAGAAACCCGAAGAGTTCAGCAAATGACGCCGGTCACTTCCGAAAAACAAAAATTACGACAAACTCCCTAGCGGAAATGAATGTAACAAAACACAAATTAATTGTGGTGTCTACGGGAAAGCAAATGCAGGAAAGCGAAACAAAATCCCTCTCTCCTATAATTAATGGAATAGGAAGTTGCAAAAAGCTTACCTTGCAATAAAACGGAGTGCTAGAAATTAGTGGGCAAGGAAGAGCGAAAGCTGAAGATACGGTGCGGTAAATTCATTGAAACGCAAAAATTAAACGGTATGAATGCAAAATAAATTTACGGAAAAGCTCAAAACTTTGGTACCTACGGAACGTAACTTGAGAAAGTGCAAAAGTCACAGTAGATTTTACGTTTCGGTTATAACACCACACCAAAGGCAAAAGATCGATGATGAAATATGGTACGGTTGCCCAAGTAAATTTACGGAAAAGCAAAAAAATTACGGTACCTACGAACTTAGATTGAAAAGATGCAAAAGGCAAAAGATCTTACGTTTCGAGTCAACACCAGAAGCTAAAAGATCCTATCTAAACAACGGCTTTACCTTTTATAACATTCGGCCAGTTCATGGAGAGATAGCCGGTTTTCCCATCCGACACAGCGTGTGCGGTTATTTACATCCAAAAATTAAAACTTCTTTAATTTATTTCTCGGCTTCTGGTCATCATAAAAATCGGGGAACACTTACTAACATCGTGAAAAATTAGAACGCATCCAGGGAAACTTCACACGACTAATTCTGATAACGTTTAGTGCAACCCGTGTATTTAGCTACTGTTAATTTGGCCGGATTGAAATTGTTAAAGTCGGTAGTTCGTTGTTAATTGGAATTCCTCGGGTCGACATAATGATCGCTTATCAGAAAAGATATCGGCGTAAACCTGCATGACCTTTGCTCGTTTTAATGTACCATCTGAAACAAAAAACCTACTAGTAATGGCTTAACGGAGCTGAAATTCTAAAATACTAATTTGTCTTCTAAATGACAAGGGCTTTCAGACCCAAAAATAATTGAAATATCTTGACGGGAACGGTTGCAAACAGCAGATTACTTACAGTTCTCGTTGACGCGGTAGCCGTACCTTCTATCTAACACCTACTAGAACCAACATAAATACTTTCGGCAAGACACTTTTTGAAACCACGTGGCCACCTTAAAACGCTTCTAGATACCTGGTGTTCATTTACAGAGTGGTCACTAAAATGGGTAACTTCAAGGCGGACGACGGATGCGTCCTTACAAAACAGGTAAGGTAAGGTTCCAGTTTTTTACGGGATGCACGCCCTTTTTGTGATCTGCTGCACATTTTAATTGAAAAGTGGGTGGTTTGTTCTAAATAATTTAACGAGTTAATTAAATGTAAATGGTCAGTTTTTTAAAAGTTTGGTGAACCAACGACACAAGTTATATATCGTCTATTTTACGATATCAAAGCAAGCAGCTGATGACTCATTAAAAACCTACGGCAACATTCTATTTGAGAAAAGCAGTAGCTACTTTGTATTACATTAGCGTAGGAACCACTATGAAACGTGAACGTCTCGATTATTTCATTCGAAATTAAACCATTGATCTCACTTGGCAACAGCTCAAAAATGTTTCAGCGGTATTAATGTAAAGGAAAAAACGTATATAAAGGAATATAAAAAAAGAATTAATTTTAGTTTAGTGTAAGTTGGGGTAACAATAAAATTTATACGTCTGCTGGAAATAAATTTCGACCACTTGGAAATAAAAAGATACTTCCCGAAATTTTAGAAAATGTAAATGACGGGAAAGCCAATCAATGAGGCGTTCTACTCTCATAACGATATAATTAATGAAATTTGATTAGATTGGCATGGTACTTTTATGTTTGTCATAAAAACACCCCCGCTGACATGACAATTGATTAATTTTTCTATAAATTCTGCTAAACACTTATCAGTGTCTGCAACTGTGCCAAACATTTCACTAGCTATAGTACATTTTAAATTGATTTAATCTTTTGGTCCAAATTTCTACTTTTATTTGAAAAATGCGTTTTCGGCCCATAAGTACCACTTTTCGACGATAGACATTGTTTTTTTTAACTATTGGCAACAATAATGTTTAAATTTTCCTAAAATGGAGATATGCTCTCCCAGACTTTTTGTAGGAGTTATTCCTGTAAAATCTATTTTCTCGTCTCTATTACGGTTTGTCCTGCGTTTTGAAACAAATGCGGGCGACCGTGGTTTTAGTACGAAAACTCTATAAGACACCATTCGTTGAAAAGTCAATATACCATGATTGCTTTGAGTCAGATGTCTTGATCTACTCAACCTACAACCCTATCCGGCTCGCATGAACCAGTTGGGTTACAGTTCTGACTTAACAGAGATACAACAGTGGTGGGTTTCAGTCTCAATTAAGCACTATGCGCTACCCCTACCCTACTATAAAATCAGGACAGATGAATACAACAAAATTCGATTACCTATGTAATGAAAATTGTATTTCAGATCGATGCGTGTCGATGGAATCAATCAAAAAAAGAGAGAGAGGAAGAGGTTTTTATGGTACTGCTTGTATTCCTGGACGATACCATTGGTCATCACGTTGTCGGCATTCACTGTTCAGGAGTTTAAATCGTCGCTACCCGAATCCATGGAACCGCTTGCACCAGCGCTGGGAGACTTTTCTTGTTTCTTTGAAGAATGTAAGTAAACTACAATAAAGAGGTTCAGAGACAATACGGACATATTTCCTTTTCGGGTCGAACGAGTTGCCATTTTGCATATTGTCTCAGATGTTCTAGTAACTGTTCCTTTCCCTTACAGCAACCAACTTAGTGGCGTTCCTAGTGTGGTTTATGCTACCAATAGCAATAGTGTGTGTATGCAATACGTTTTTCTTCGTGAAAACCATCATGTACTGTTATAAAGTGAAGAACGAAATTGAAAAAATGATGGATTCAAACCTTAGCAAAAACGAATGCAATAAGATCTTAATAGCTGACAAAGAAAGGTGAGTCCTGAGTTTCGGATTGGAAGATGATTTAATTAATTACAGACTAAGAATGGTGGTTAGGCTATTGTTAGTGATGGGGATCCCGTGGATGTTCGAAGCGATATCCGGCGCGTGCATACCTCCAGATGCGGGGGGTCCATTGGAAGTTGTTGAAATAATATTTGACTCCATCAACGTGTTACAAGGTAACTTCCTTTATGTTTGACGGAATTATTTATGTGTTCAAACTGTTTCAGGATTCTTTATTTTTTGTGTTTTCGTTCTTAAAATGAAGTTTTTAAAGGCATTAAAAAGAAGATTTACTGGTAAAAAGCGTCCTCATCGAATAATACGAAGTAATTATTCTGGAGTTACTGCATCTTCCTATATTGATGTAACATCACCTAAACTAGTTAACATTAGCACTTAACTATTTTTGAGTTCCTGAATGTCTAACACTGTTTGCTGACTCCCTGTTGACATATTTGTGTAATTGTACCTACACGAAATAGTTGGTGTTTTTAACTTTAGGACTTTTTGTAGGTGACACGTTTAGTATTTGGGGATTATTGAACTGAACTGATAAGTCTGATAGTACAAAACTAGGTAAAGTGTAAGTGTTAGTGTAGTAGCTTGTGTGCTTAAATATTCCATTTCCTGTACATGATGTCATAATTGTATACCTAATAGTCAATGTTGTTGGTCCATTTCCTGGATTTGCTGGAAAACCACTAATCATCTACTTAATGTGATTTATAAGTTATAACTTAGTGTAATACAAATGCAGTGGTTAAGATATTGGTAATGGTAATGTTTCCACACATTTGTCTTCTTCACAGAAAGGCCACTTGGGCTTTACATACCACCAACTATTTCTTGCTCTGCAGTTGTATGTAATAACAAAATCGTGTACTATTTTTATATATTATTTCAGAAATCGAACATTTCTTGCCAGATCGAGCGTATCTACCATGCGCCACCGTTTAGGGACATGCCATGTAATTTCTAATCTAAGAATTATTGTGTAATACCTACTTATAAGTCTTATTTAATATTATATTTTTATACTTATATATTGTGGCCTTTAAAACTGATTGTGTGATGTATAACATAAACAGGAGTTAAGTAAATCTATTTTGGGAACAATAAATGGAAAGCTGCATGATGTACACTAAACAATCACCGTTGTTGGCAAGATTTCGTGCGATAATACTAATATTTAAAGTATTGTAAGTTTATTTATTTTATAATTATCTACAAATATCTCAGTGAATCTCCGGCAAGGGCGTCCCCAGCTTAGGATCTGTGTACTACCATGGAAATACCTACCTAATATTTCTATCACTGTCTTTATTTTTCCTGTTTAAACTTTGTATGGAAGTAGCAACTGCCTTCCTCCTTCGGTCTAGTGCCTGTGGACGTCCATGAGAAATGAACGTTTTTGGCACTTTTTTTTATTTGCAACCTTTGCGACATTAGTATATCATTCCATGTCATGTAATGGCCCTTTGATAATAAATAATAATAAATGTTTACTACGTGCGTGTATATTAATATTGTATGAAAAAAGTTTTCGTATACATACAGGGTGTTGTAATGTTCCTAGGGGTCTATCAAGCCAACACTGAAAACGTTGACTTACCTTATACTTATCGTTGGCAAGAAACTACAAGCAGAGGCACCTACCTTTCAAGTCGAAACGCGGGACGTTTCGCGGCACTTTTGAATTTGGATGGCAGTTGGCTCGATATGGGTGGCACGAATAAACTCCTACGTTGTGTAATTGGTTCTTGTATGTGTTGGGACGTGAGACATAATCGGGAAGAGAGTTAAATTAAAGACAGAACTTTTGTGCGTAAGAAATGACAAGATCAAATAAATATATTAACGCACACAACAAGACCATGCCAGGGAAACCTTCTACGGGACTAAAACCCTGGCATAGGCCACACAAATACATGAAATAAATCACCTACAGCAGCAATAAAATGCAAGAGAAAATACACATAAATAAAAAATCTCAAATTGTATGATAAAAACAGATAATCAAATCAAATGCAATTAAAGAAGTTCATAAAAACAAAATACACAAGACATCATAAACGCAGTGGAAAACATGATAAATCAATTCAGTACACAAACACAACCCGTACGATCAATTGAGATAACACAACTCGTAAAATAATAACTTGCGTGTACATAGGAAACATCAAAATGGTGTGGCTCTACTTCACCCTTCATTAACACAATTTAATTTAACACGAAAAATACATGTGAGAATGCCAATAGTTAGTATTCAGGTGAAAATCGATTATCGCTCAAGCAGAACATATTTTAAATAGAGGAAATGTTAATTCGAGGAGGAACCTTTCTCATATTGCGAGACATAGAAATGCAGCCTGCATGAGACGAGCAGGTAACAGATACAGCGAACGGTCGAACTGTATTAGAGGTATTTACCCCACGGAGACAGAATGACCCACTCGCACACACAAACATCGAAACATCAATTCGTATAGCTAACGCACAAGAAATGTAGCGCGCCACGAATCAGAAAGTAACAGATACTGCGAATAATCAAACTGTATTAGGTACTTCCTTCACACTTGCAGATGTGTTCCACACTGACTCCCTGTACTGCGCAAACGCAAGCGCGCTAAAATTTGAATTTGCTTTAACGTGCCACCATTTGTTTTGTTAGTTCCTGCTGACTTCCATATTACAAACCAAATGTCGCTGTATTTTCGGAAAGAATATGTTCTTCTTCTCGAATTAAAGCCTTCGGTCACTACTGTGAATTCCAGTTAAATACATTATAGCGCCAACTTGAAAGCAAACCTCTACTTTAGCTATCAGTCATGATCCTTGTAGTCTGGTTTTTTGTGATTCGTTCAGCACCGGACTCTCTCTTTACCATAGGTCAATGTTGGTCTGTAACGTTATTGCTGTAAGTAAATGTCATTAACTCTTTCTAATTAACTATTACAGTACTTACCGAAGCAGTTTCCTAATATCGCCTTTGGCATATTCTATGACCATGCACTCCAAATGTAGATAACAACAAAATTCATCTTGATAACATGGCATTTTCATATACCTACTACATATAATAGGTAAGCTAAATTATCTTCAATTATAACGTTTGGCGGTTATGTGTATATTATTTACCCCTTACACTTGACAGCTGTACACAAATTCAAATTTTAGCGCGCTTGCGTTTGCGCAGTACAGGGAGTCAGTGTGGAACACATCTGCAAGTCTTCCCTCACGGAATAGTTACGGATTAGTCGGCCAGGGCATCGATTCCCGAAGTTAGTCGATATGCTCCGTGATGTGCATGTGATGTGACCGGCTGCCATGACGTCATGAATTCATGCTCGTATACGATAGGGATAAGTTCAAGTTTAGCTGCATTCCCGTATCGTGGACAAACTTTATGCGCTAACCAATCACAGACAAGAATTGAACTGGCATTTGTCAGTTTTGTATTTTGTTTTGTTTTTGCATTACGGATACTGTTATTAATAACCAGAAAATCCTCTAACAATTCCATGTTTTATTTCACAGAAAATATGTGAATGTATAGGTTAGGGCACTGAATAACCCCTAGCAAAACAGCTGCAAGATCCGTCCTGTAGCTGCTACTGCGCATGATGTGGTTAGTGGTAGGTTCCAGGCAGTCACATTCACGTTCACATCAAGGTCAGTCGATGTGAACAAAGCACATCTTCGGGAATCGACGCCCAGAGCAACATCGCACTGATAATCAACTCCTCGTGAATCACAGAAATAAAGACTTAATTAAGCAAAATAATGGCATCTGTACAGTATAACAAACACGAGTCATCTAACGCTACTCAAAACAAAGGCATGAAGTACGCCATGATTCAGATATCGTAGTTAGTTTATGAAAAATCAGCAAAATGTAAATAATATCAAATTGTGGCAAGAAATTCAATGATTATATAGCTAGTACAAGAAAGAAAACAATGGTTACTACCTGTAAATACACCTTCAAAACACCACCACCAAAATAATCAAGAATAAAAAAAAACTGGGAAAGGGTGTGCCTTCCGTCGACCTCGTCCCCATCTTCTTCATTCCCCTATTTAGTTTTGTTACGAAAATCTCCTAGTATACGGCATGTGCGCAAAACGGTCGATTGGTTACATACAGAGCATATCAAACTTTTGTTTCAGTTGCAAAGGTGTGTTAACGAAGTCTGATTTTTGAGCCTACTCACCCTACAAACCTTCACTTCAACACCACGCAAGGCCGAAAGAAAAGAACCTTTTTAATCATATATATTACTATACAATGGTATAGAGTAACTCCTTAGACCGTACATGGTAAGTACATGGACTGCGATTAACCTTATGGTTTCCATACAAAATGGAAGGTCACGGATAGGGGGCACTGTAGTCGTGAGTATGTACAGTGACTTTATAGAGACAGTGGCGACAATAGAAGCCCCTACGCCATGTTCGACAATGATCTCAGATATAGAACGATCGATTAGAGTGAGCGCATATGTGGGTTGGTCCACATCGAACAAAAAAAACCTGCCGTACGATGTTGTGGCGGACACCAAGGTCAGGGAAATAAGTTTGGTGCTGTAGGGGTAGATCACTATTCTATTAGCATTTGATTTTTTTTGGATTTTGACGCCGGCCTTCGGGAAGCCAGGAAGAGGAGACGAGAAAAACGTCCGCTCTGGTGTCGATTTGGAAATGGATGTTTGTCTAGTAGGCGGCAAATCCTTGAGATATCGTCGCACACTATCGCATGTGACGGAAGGATCTAGCTTTCAGTGAACATTGCTTGGTTCGCATTAGCTGGGAGGTCGTAGTTGCCAGCGCGTCCTCCCCTAGCGATCTCGCATCTGATGAGCCTCGGTCTTGGTAATCAAGTTCTCCACTGTGGGTGTTAACTTCAAAAACGCAGCTTCCAATTCACTGGAGGTGTGGTTTATGTGTTTCCGCCTGGGCGCTGGGATTAGTATAGATTTGTGTTTCTGTGGAAGTCGAGAGAGTTAGAGAGATCTCGTACTTACCTATTTCAGATGGTGTGTTTACGATGTCTGCACTGGATAGGGTGTCGGTATCGACGAGTTTCTAATCCACAATCTCGCCCTTTCCCAATAATGACATTTATAGGTATTCGGTAGGTATATATGTTAAATAGCATTTCAGAAAAACTTGCACTTGTAAGTCTCCAACGCATTAATACCACAGATTTAAACACTTAATACCACCCTAAATTAAACATGATTATGGACGCTTGTCAAACTTGAAACATTAGAGCATGTCTCCACATTGGCAGGGATTTGAAATAAAATAACCTTGGGCAGGGATGCTGCTCTGTTTTGAGGACGATTATTGATTTATAGCTTCAAGTCTATAGCATTGTGTATAAAAATAAAATACAAGTATATGGAACGCCAATTTACTATTTATTAACTGCATTTTAAGTATAGCATTTTAATTGGTTACGTTTATATGCCATTGTAATAAAATGGTTTTGTTAAATTAAAATCCACATTTTCTTGGAGTACGATAGTAATTTAAATAGTTTCCTTTGTAACATGTCACAAAATAACGACGTTTATATGACGAATCCCGTAGCACCACTTCAGTTTTTAATGCCTGTAAATACTATAAATTGCATTTAAAATGCGATAGGTTTATTTTGAATGCTTTTTCTTTGCGATCATCTACATCACAAACCTATTTAAATGCTGGTGTGTACAAGATGCGTTTTACTATTTATTATACATTTATAACGTATACCAAAATATTTAAATAACAATTGAATTGTTACCAACAAATTAAACATGTCAAAAAAATGTTAGCCAAATGTATGCAAATGTAGGAAATGTTAATATGGATTTTAGCGTTTGAATCCTAAAACACTACAAGATGACAGAGATGAATATTAAACATTGCCAATTTGATTGTCATGCATCAAAATAAATAGCAATTTCTATAAAAGATTTAAACACATAAGGCATTTATTTGGAACTGTCCAGCTATATCAGAAGTGAAATACATTTGCTGCTGTGTGTAATTGAATTGATATTAAATAAAATTGAGTCGAGTATGTTTGCATCCAAAAAAAATGTAAACCATTCTCATGCGTATATCAAATTAAATCGCATGCATTGAAATTCGTATATATGCACTTTAAAGAACAAACGTTATTCACGTATTGGATTAAAATAGATACCCGTTGCGATATTACCAATGGAAATAAAATTATTCGTAAGGTATGGCATAAAAATTAAATCGAAGTTTAAGATGTAGCATTGAATTCCAATGAATTTAATAGTGCATCTTTTAATTAAAATGAACGTCGAATTATTTTGTGAATCATTTCTATGCGATACACCGCATTAAAATACATTGCATTTTAAATGTGCTTATACATACAATGGAAATTCGGTCTGCATAAAATGTAACGCATAAGAATAAGACACAAATTTAATGTATCAAATGGAAATGGTATGAATGAAAACTACTCTGCATGCAAATGCGCAGTTACGTTAGAGAAGGAAAGTAGCCGTAGGTCTTAGGTACGTTTTATTTGCGGTTGCGCAAAAACAAAACAGCTGTTATTGATTGTTACTTACATCGAACGTATAAATGGATTAATTAATACGTTCATCAATTTTGAGAAGGCAAGCGATTTATTGGGTTATTTTCTGTCGGTCACACGTGACCTTTACAGTTTTTACGTACATATTCGGTAAGTCCAATTTTACGATTCCTTTTATGATAACAGTAAACAATGAATGTAGGATTTGCACCTGCTGCGCAATATTGTTTAATATAAAGCAAGAAAAAGGCCGATGGAAATCGAAAGATGTGCAAGAGGCGCCGGGTCCCCTTAACAATAAATTGGAGGTGTACGCTGTCGCTATAAAAAGGTAATCTCAAATTTCACTTATTCTTACCTGTAATGCAATTTGAGTGAACAGTTACAGGTTCGTGGGAATTAATAATGGATAAAGAGTCCAGAGATAAACCGTTAATGGAACGAAGCTCATGTTCTACGACTCTTGTAAGGAACAAGCACATCGACAAGTTGATGCTCCTTCGTAATGGAAATTGTGTCGAGTTCAATCGTGATATATCTACTAACACGATAAGTTAAATATGTAATCTCCATTGAATGAGAGATTTGTATATTTACAAGATGCTAATACATGTACCTGTGTAGAAACACGAGCACGTGAGACATTGTTAGACACGTATCTCGTTCTGTTTGATGGGTGCACCGTAGTATGTAAACGATGACGTCGCTAACAAAGTTACACAAAGATTGTCAAAAAAAATTTGTATCCTGATAATTAAACGATTATCCTATTCGTCATCTGGAAGCGTTTATTTCAAAAGTGAACCACACACCGAGAAATGTAACTTCCCTACATACCAAAAGGCAGATTGAAAGAGAAGTCCTCGCAGGGATGATAGAAGCGTAGTTCCTCTTAACCCTTCAGTGGTGACGCACGGTCTCTCAGACCGACGAAAAGTATTTTTCAAATTTTTATAAAAACGACGCAGCGCATGGCACTGCTAGTTCTGCTAGCTTAATATTTTGCTTGTCTGAGTTTAGTACCAGACGAACAACTTGATGAAGCAAGCCGTTCTTTGACAATTAACCCTTTCGGTCTGTCAGACCGACGTCACCATTGGTGTACCTAAAAATTCAAGCTCCCACTGCACATTCTTTCAAACAGAAATCAAGAACAATTTGGAAATTTGGGTATATTTAGTGCCGTGAGTAATTGGCCGCTTTCCGGTGCATTGATGCTAGGTACGAAAATTCTAGTCAGCGCAGCATTGCAACGCGCATCCCCCCATAAGCTTAGTATTGTGTATAATTCAATTTAGTTATGTTCAGTGGCGGTCCCAGGGGGCCCGGCCCCCCCCCCTATTGTTCATTTTTTTCATCAGATTTATTCTTTTCCGTGTTGGGACAAAGTTCGGGTTTGGGCCCCTCCCTTTACCAAATCCTGAGACCGCTACTGTCAGTGGCGGTCCCAGGGGGGGGGGCCACGGGCCCCCTCATTCATTTTTTTCATTAGATTTCTTTCATTTTTTTCCATGTTGGGGCAAAGTTCGGGTTTGAGCCCCTCCCTTTACCAAATCCTGGGACCGCTACTGGTTATGTTACAAGAATAAAATTTATTTTTCGATTTATATGCCTTTGTTTATTTATTGACTGTACTTTTTCCTTTATTTTAAGCCAAGTTACATGCGTATGCGTAGTAACTACGAAATCAAGCCAAAATCAAATTCGGTCTCTCAGACCGAGGTCACCACTGGTGTTCCAAAATTTCACGTCACCACTGCAGGGTTAAAAACCCCTGTTAAAGTTTTTCTAGAAGTGCTCCAGAATTTGAGAAATAAATTTTTAAAGTTGACCACGCACATACTTCTAAATAGAACACCTAACTTTGACATCGCATTAAAGAAGTTACAGAGAGGTTGGAAGAAAACCCCCTATAGGGGTGATAGAAGGGATGTTCCCCTTTAAAACCCATGTTACAGTTTTTCTAGAAGTGCCCCAGAATTTGAGAAATTAATTTTTAAATTTGACCTTGCACGTACTTCTAAATAGAACACCTAATTTTGACATCGCATTAAAGAAGTTACAGAGAGGTTGGAAGAAAACCCCCTGTAGGGGTGAAAGAAGGGATGTTCCTCCTTTAACACCCTGCTCGCAGTTTTTCTGGAAGTGCCCTATCATTCGAGAACTTATGAGTGTGTTTGTTCATTCTTTTAAATGTGAACGTTGTGATTTAGGTAATTTTTGCTGTGCATGCGTGAGTTGTGGTTATGAAGCCGATTTTGCGTGATGATTGATGTCATTCACTTGAAAATGTTTGTTTATAATTTTCGGTGAAGTCCCAGACTATAATATAGGAAACCACGATCACTGCTTTTTTCATTCCATAAGAATCTCTCTTTTTGGTTATGTTATTGTGATCCTGTATATTGTACCTATAACGGTAGACAACTGCTATTTGCATTGCATGTAAGTGCACGTGCACGGCGTAGTAGTTACTGTTATGGAGGTGGTTATTGACAGTGGATCTATTACCTACTTAAAACCTTATATCTATCTGTATGTACGTGTGCGTTTACAATGAACGTATACAAAAATTTCATAAACCGTAACTCGTACATATCTGTATCGATTCCGTAAATTTACTTCGCTGTTTGCAATAAACCAAAGATCATATTACAAGTAGTATGATATTTGACCGTACGTAACTTTGAAACATTTTCAACCTTTGCGACTATGCGCAAGACTTACATATCGCTTACATATACGTACGTAAAAATTACGTTCATTGTAAACTTAACCCCTTCGTATGTTTCTATACAGTTCAACTTTGCGAAATTTTTACGTTTTATGTATCTCTTACGTATACGTAGGTACATTGTAAACGCACACTTAATGTCTGTGTACAGTTCATACACGTTATTGTTCTGGTTACGGCTGGTAAAAGTTATAGCGAGGGCGGTAGAATAGACCTGACATAACTTAAATAACCGATTTTTTTGGTTTTTCTAAAAGTAGGTACTCTACAATTTAAGAAAAAAATTAAGGCTGTACCAACGTAACTATCAACACGGAGATATAGTGGTTGTAATTTGATAACCAATTGTAAATAAAGTTATGCAAAGTCTAGAAATAAATTAATTTAAGAGAATTTCTTCATTCTTTTAAATGTGAACTTTGTGCTTTCCGTAATTTTTATTGCGCATGCGGGAGCTGTGGTTATGAACCCGATCTTGGCGGGCTAACGCCAACTTCAAATCACACCGGAATATTTGACCATATTCTGTAGTAGAGGGAATGCCTAAACTAACATGGCTGCCTATTTGAATATTCTCGCTTAAGTTTCCCGCGAGAATCTGTCACTCGGGGGCCACTCCGAGTGCACTAAGATCGTGATCGTCATGTAGGACACCTACGTTGTGTAATAACTGGGTTCTCAGCAGGCACTGAGGGTGTTTTATGGATAAGGAACACCAAAAGTAAAAATAAATAGCTGATTAAGTTTATATTGAATTTAATACCAATACGATTACAGAGTGACCCGCATAATGTTTTTTAGCGGCGCCCCTGCAGAGGGTATTAGGTGGTTCTATACTACTCCGGCATTTACCTTACGAATTGGAAAACTACAGGAAAACCTAATTCGGAGTAGTCCTATAATAAACATCTAATGTACAGCACTTTTGAGCCCCCTCGAAACCGGGGTAAATACTACAAACACGCTATGAGTAACCAAAATGGAATCGAGACATTCTCCAGGTATTACAACACATACATCAGGCAAAACTAAGAAGTGTTAAATATACCTCGACGGCCGGGAGGATTACCCAGGCCCTGTAGACATGGGCTAGCTAAAGTTGTTGGGTTCGGAACGAGTGAAAATGTTAGTGTTAGGTTCACCAAGGCCCGTATAAACTTGAATAACTCGATCCCCTCTAAACAAGCACACTTCCCTCTTGATTACTCCAGTCCCAAATAAGCAAATATAATGAAATGCAATGAAATAATCGAGAGTGACTAAAAAGCACAATACGCAAATATGTACACATGCAAGTATGTACAGCACAGATACAGCCCTACCGACAATGAAACATGACTGCCAATACCAACAAAGGTTACACATTAAGAGGTACAAGTGATTGAATCCAGTAAGTACATAAGTAAAGAGTTACAATCTACATTCAAGTTATGCACATTTATAGATTAATTGAATAAAGCAAATACCTCACCTGATACAAAAAAGCAAAAGCACACAGTTAAGGTATAACAAAATATTTCAAGACAAGCCGTACTTTACACTTCAGCCGGTTACAAGACAAAGACCATGAACACACATGTCAAATCCTATTTATTGAACAACCCAAGCCATTCGGTAATTTGATCTGCTAATACCCCTAAAAACCTCCCGAAAAAAAAATTCTCAAAAGAAGGATTTGCGTAAATCGCAACATTCCTACACTCAAAATGTGTGATTCTCCCATAAGCTCAATAATAAATTTGGGAAAAATGGCGGAAATGAGCATATGGCCACACTGTCTTTATAGAGTCACTGTAATATGGGCACCGACAGCATAATATCTATTGGGCATTTACGAAAACTGGAGCGGTAGATCCACGATGGTAAATGTCGGTAAACATTTGATGATGACTGATGAGATGCGGTAACTTTGGTGCATGCCTGTTTATAGAACAATGCTTTTGTGTAAATGTAGCGCATAAATTTATAAACATATAGAGTAGGAAACAAAGATAGTTCCACAAACAGAACACCCTTCCGTTTTGGTATGTAGGGAAGTTACATTTCTCGGTGTGTGGTTCACTTTTGAAATAAACGCTTCCAGATGACGAATAGGATAATCGTTTAATTATCAGGATACAAATTTTTTTTGACAATCTTTGTGTAACTTTGTTAGCGACGTCATCGTTTACATACTACGGTGCACCCATCAAACAGAACAAGATACGTGTCTAACAATGTCTCACGTGCTCGTGTTTCTACACAGGTACATGTATTAGCATCTTGTAAATATACAAATCTCTCATTCAATGGAGATTACATATTTAACTTATCGTGTTAGTAGATATATCACGATTGAACTCGACACAATTTCCATTACGAAGGAGCATCAACTTGTCGATGTGCTTGTTCCTTACAAGAGTCGTAGAACATGAGCTTCGTTCCATTAACGGTTTATCTCTGGACTCTTTATCCATTATTAATTCCCACGAACCTGTAACTGTTCACTCAAATTGCATTACAGGTAAGAATAAGTGAAATTTGAGATTACCTTTTTATAGCGACAGCGTACACCTCCAATTTATTGTTAAGGGGACCCGGCGCCTCTTGCACATCTTTCGATTTCCATCGGCCTTTTTCTTGCTTTATATTAAACAATATTGTGCAGCAGGTGCAAATCCTACATTCATTGTTTACTGTTATCATAAAAGGAATCGTAAAATTGGACTTACCGAATATGTACGTAAAAACTGTAAAGGTCACGTGTGACCGACGTAAATAACCCAATAAATCGCTTGCCTTCTCAAAATTGATGAACGTATAAATAATCCATTTATACGTTCGATGTAAGTAACAATCAATAACAGCTGTTTTGTTTTTGCGCAACCGCAAATAAAACGTACCTACGACCTACGGCTACTTTCCTTCTCTAACGTAACTGCGCATTTGCATGCAGAGTAGTTTTCATTCATACCATTTCCATTTGATACATTAAATTTGTGTCTTATTTTTATGCGTTACATTTTATGCAGACCGAATTTCCATTGTATGTATAAGCACATTTAAAATGCAATGTATTTTAATGCGGTGTATCGCATAGAAATGATTCACAAAATAATTCGACGTTCATTTTAATTAAAAGATGCACTATTAAATTCATTGGAATTCAATGCTACATCTTAAACTTCGATTTAATTTTTATGCCATACCTTACGAATAATTTCATTTCCATAGGTAATGTCGCAACGGGTATCTATTTTAATCCCATACGTGAATAAAGTTTGTTCTTTAAAGTGCATATATACGAATTTCAATGCATGCGATTTAATTTGATATACGCATGAGAATGGTTTACATTTTTTTTGGATGCAAACATACTCGACTCAATTTTATTTAATATCAATTCAATTACACACAGCAGCAAATGTATTTCACTTCTGATATAGCTGGACAGTTCCAAATAAATGCCTTATGTGTTTAAATCTTTTATAGAAATTGCTATTTATTTTGATGCATGACAATTAAATTGGCAATGTTTAATATTCATCTCTGTCATCTTGTAGTGTTTTAGGATTCAAACGCTAAAATCCATATTAACATTTCTTACATTTGCATACATTTGGCTAACATTTTTTTGAGATGTTGAATTTGTTGGTAACAATTCAATTGTTATTTAAATATCTTCATATACGTTATAAATGTATAATAAATAGTAAAACGGCGCACCATACAAGTAGGTAGGTACAATTTATATCCTAAAAAGTTTTAATTTCAACGCCAGCTCCTAAGTATTGTATTTACACACAAATATCGTTTAAGGACGGCATACTATTCATGAGAACCAATAGAGGTCGCCACTGACAAATTGCATTGTAAAATTATATCAAACTTTGAGAATGACTCCTGGGCTTATACAATCATTTTTTAGCCTGGTTTTTGAAAATATAAATTCTACATACATTACTCTAGAGCGACTGTATAAAGGTTTTACTAAAAAGACAGTAATTACTACAATATTGCTAAAATAAGAGGGCACATTTTATATTTTATTTTAAGCAATTGTTGAATTTTAAAGTACAGTCGCTGTAAAACTGCTCCTCCTCTTTCAATATTGAAAGTTTTGCCATTTAAAACCCAATATTGTGGCCAGGAGTCATTCTCAAAGATTTCATTTTTAAAAAGTTACATCAATCACAATGGCGGCAAGCAGCAGTAGTGCAGCTATTTATTTCTAGATGTCGCTAAGGTAGAACCTGGCGCGCGTCTGTAAAAAAATATTATAAAGGAACTGCTGCATCCGATTATGATGTCATTGAGTACAATGAATTGTTGTTTGTCTAAAGACGAGTACATAAACGCGACCTATGCCAACATTCCTTTCTCGTTTACTAAGATAAAATGACATTTGTGATTTGAATGTGTGTGGGCGACCCTCCGGAAAAGAAGACAGGTAGTTAAAACCGTTTGGAAATTTTACACGATTGTGTAACGCTGCCCTTATCCTATGTCTATCCTACGACGTGCATTTCCTAAAAATCACAGAGGTGCAAAAATGCATTTATTATCTTCGTTGGCGCAGAGACCAGATCTACTGTCCAAATTCTCCGGGTATGCTCTGGGGCAGAGATCATGGGGGCGGGGGTGAATTTTCAGTAAAAAATATGATTTGCCCCGAGTAACGATTTTTTCGGCACGGTTAGTTTTGATCTTCACTGCGCCCTCGTAGCGCCGCCCCTGGGCATCCTCTGTCAATTTCGAGGGCAGAAATGGACTCTACGCCCCCGATAACCCCGAGTAGGATTTCTCCAGCTTTTCATATAAGGAGCGATCAAAAAAGGATTGACAATCGAATCGCCGATTTTCTGGGTAACCAAAAATTCCAAAGCTTGCTCGACAACACTCTTTTTTGATCGCATAGTATGTAGTATTAGTGAAAATAATGATTACAAATTGTAGGTATGACAAAATAAACAAAAACAAACAGTTTTTTGTAAATAAAGCAAATTCCCCTATGTATCCTTTAAATTCACCACGTCAAAGAATTTATAAGAATATTAACAAATGAACGTCAAAAATTTTATTTGCGATTTCGACTGCAGAGCGACAGCAGAAGGGCTAGGTATTTGAACAAAAAAACATGCCTTGAATTTGTTGAATTATTATAACCTCTGGTAATGGTGCATAATCGGTTTTTGCGTGTACCTTTAAATGTAATTTAATCTATGTCAACCAGCTGTTTTTTATCTCCTTAAAATAAGCAAAGGAATGTGCACAAGGTCATGGAAGTCAACATGTAAAAGTAATTAAATTTAGAGTATACACAAACCAATTGTGTAAGTAGATAGTACCACCTACTCGACATGATGTGGCAGCACAATTTATTTACTACAAAGATAATACTTCACTATCTTTCGATTTTAAAACATGCTGCGACCTCTGATATTTAATAGCTGAATCATAGTTGCCTCATTTCATAACTGGTTCAATTTTTTAATTCGTATGCCGTCCTTAACGAGCGAGATACGTCAGTGACGATTTCTATTTCTCTCCCTGCAAACAAAGCAGTTTATTCGCAAGGAATGTAGATGCAGCAGTATGTACTTAGTCATACAACTTAGAGATGGCGCGACAAGTACAAAAATATGACAACAACTAATGGATTCGATCAACATTCTCTACATCCACTGCCACATTTTAATTATAATGATCTTCATAAGTGTTTCCAATATAGGTACATAAAATAAAATCTCAGATTAAAAAGAATCGCCAGGAATATTGTATAAATTTGTTTTCATTTTCTTAACAACTGTATTGCCTAATTCGTCCAGTTCTCCTGGACAGCTTCCAAATCCACGACTTAGCGAAGGTTTCATTAGCACTTTCGAAGCATCGCCATCGGCTAATTCGCTTTACACCGTGATAGCAGAAATGTCAAACTCTTAATCTAAAAATTCTGAGTTTGTCAGCGTATTTGCTTAATCTTAAAAAACATCATTCTAGGAAGATTTAAAACGTGAAGTAGTTTCGCCATTAATTTTATACTTATTAGAAGGGCGTTACGGAAGGAAATGGTTTAATTAAAATTTTATGGTAGTTTGACCAAGACTTTAAATTAAATTTCGAGTAGGAATGACACTTCAATTTATCCTCCTCATAATAGGTAATTTATGATTTTTTTAAAATTTCAGTGTCTTTCGAAGATAATTGATGTTGTTTTTCACAATTTTACTTGCACTCAGTAATTGAAAGATAAAAATGTCGATACGAAATAAGCCAATTTGACGGTCACGTACCTTAAAAGTTGAGTTACGGTTGGCGGGAGGACTTAATTTAAGATGTGTGGTCCTTATTTATTTATTTTAGGGACTGACTTGAGAATGTTACAGATTGGTGCCGTGACCAGGATATGTGTTCTATTGCTATGGAGCACTGAGTATATTTTTGTGTTAACTGTTATTGTTTGTGATTGGAATTCTAGGTGGTTATATCAGCTGAAACCAGGCCATTGGAGTGAGGCTCGTCCGCTATTACTGGAGGATTGGAGAATCAACTAGTTTGGAGAAATTGGAGTGGCCAACTTACCAGCTTCCACCATAAACCCTGGTTGGTGGAAAAGCCTACCTTTACGAGTTTACAGAAAACTTATTGTAATTTAACTAGGGGTCCTGACGACAGACTTATACGTTAGTCAAAACTTGTTTCACTGGGACAGTTTGTCACTGGTTCCACCTAAACGCCGGTAGACTTAACTTTGCTGACTCGACACGAATTTAAATAACACATAATAAAATCCACCACGCGATTTGGACAAAGAAATTGCTGGCTCTAATTATCGTGTGGGCATTTATTTTCACTCAACGGTATCATTGTAATTTATACTTTCCAGTTAGCTCTATAAGAAACGAATGACTTTCATATCCAATACAAAACCATTTTATTGATTAAAGGAGAAACCCGTCCTTGTAGGAAAAAATCAGAAATCCGATTTCGTGCAACATATGGAAAATCGTTTCATTTTTATGAAAAGTACGAATATTTTTATGTAAAGCCGCAAACGCAATTTAAAAAGGGCGAAGGTTACTCGTTACTTACGATAGCATTCTATGAATTTCAGCATTATAAAAAAAGCTAAACTAAACCACAGATATCCGTAACGTATATCTGTGCCTAAACTAAACGGACTATAACTGAAGCGGGTAGGGATATCAACAACCTAAAATTCCCGACAATTGAAGTTCAATTGCTTTTTAACACCTGCGTTAATTAGGTTTCGCAATACAAGGGTTGTAACGAAACTCGTGCCAAGATTCACCACTGAAAATACCTTTCATAGTATTGGTAAAATACACCGTTACTTGAATATTACCATGTAGCAATTGTCGCTGTAATATGCGCCACTCCCCTCGGTAGTGATAATGACACCAAGTCTTACTCGAATAATTCGCTTCCCAGAAAACTCCACTCTAGGGGGAATGCCCCCCCCCTCGATATATTTATCACCGTATCAATCGACCTAGATAGCTTCCTTTCTGTAGCCAATTCGCCACCGAAATTTTCCCATATTTCTCCCACACGAAAACTTGCTCATGGGTAAATTTGCCATCGGGATATTTTCTTTCGTAATATTCGCGCACAAAACAAATTCGTCTCCAGTATAATAAATTGACCCATGAAACATTCATTCGCTCTTCGAGTATTTGTCTTGGGAAATCTATACGTGGCCGGAGCCGTTTCACACACATTATATTAACAAAACTCACTTTCGCTTCTTAAAAGCTTAAAAACTTGGGATTTCACTGTTTGACTCAAAATATTTGTTACTATTTAGTAGATATACTTTCATGTATAACAACTAACTGGAGTTATCGTACACACAGTCAATTAGGAAAGTGGACAACAGACGACATCTAACGGAGGAATTTTACAACACATAATACAGGATGTTGACTTAGATTTTGACGTTACCACTTGTATATTTTCTTACAACTCGCTCCTCCGGAAAATTCTTCCATTAAAAATTAGACGCCGCAAATTCCATTGAATATTCGCTTCCGGAAGGTTACCCCTAGAGAGTCAAAGAGAAACGGCTTAATCTAAAATTTTAACTATATTCCTGTATTCCTATATTCCTATATTGAAGATGCAAATTCATAAACCAGTGGAAAAGCGAAATCTCAAAAAAACTAAAGACTTACATTGAATTTTTAACTATCCCAAAATTAACAATAATTAAAATTAAATCCCCCGAATTTTAACAAAGTGAACTTCGAAAATTATTCTTTATCCTT